TTCAAGCTAAGATGGTTCTTCTAAACAAAATCTATCTGATGTTAACCTCCAAAAAAAGATTCGTGACCAAGACACTCGAACTGAGCTTCTTCACGGACCTGCCCAGCAGGTCCGTCAATTGCGGTGAAACTTGTCGGCCCCATACGTGGCATCCCAGTCAGTAAGTTAGTAATATCCACATGATGCCTCCAGTTTTATAGGTTTTTTTTTTTGTGGATTTATAAGGCTTATAATCCACTGATTGATTTCCTTGGGACCCAAGGAGCTACTACGAGTGCAGAACATATACTTTTTTGAACATGAAGTATGAAGATTTTAGCAGTTAAAGCAAAAAAAACGTTTTTAGTTTTTGCGTAGAGATTGCTTGGCGCTCGCAAGCACTGCGGAGACCATGTAAGGCTGCGTGGGTTGAAATCAGGTCGACAATCTCATGCGGAATAATTATCCTCTGGTAAACGTTTACATAGCTATGGAAAATCACATCTTTTATAGGTAAATCAACAATTTTTATGGGCCATCTGAAATAGCGAACTGTTAGTCATTACCATTTCGGGTATCCTTTGCCAGTCTGAATGGCCGGCAATGGGAACCAACTGGCTCCGTCTGACACCTTAGTGACTTAGTGCAAGGCCCATTGCCATGTCATTCGAAATGATCTTTTGAGACAAGTCAACCATATAGATGTAGCCAACTCATCACATGTCTGCCAACATTGAGACATATTGAGACTTTAAGTACCAGAAATGCGGGATTGGTTTATCTCCTGGATGATAGCCAAGTTGGTTTAGTCCGGTGACGGATGTATTGTGGATATATCATATCTATAGTTTTACAGATGGATTAACAAACAAACTTACAACTTGGGACTTGGGGGCACCACTTTGTAGGGACAGGAGGGTTTTATATGTTTTATCACGTTGCATGTACTCAACCTTTTTGGGGTACCCTTTGGGGATCTACACTGACACTGACTAGTTGGATGCAAGCAAAGGGGAAGCTGTGCTTAGAATGATACAAACACCAGGCATGGCTACTGAAAGTTGGATGGGCAAAACTTGCTTTCTATCCCCAGATCTTGCATGAAAATAGAGGATACAGGGTGTACTTCATGGCCCTTTTTAAATGCAACCAAAAACTTAAAGATCCAACAAAAACAAACTGTCTACTTTGACAAGGATGCCCTTTTTGACCACAAAGAAAGTTAGTACCTGGCAGGTAACTGAAAGGGCAGGGCTAGGACATGTGATTGTATCATATTGTATCATTGTATCCATCAAATCCTATTGCCATCCGCTAAAATTCTGAGAACTCAAACTGAAAAGTTTGCATGATATGTCGTTCGACTTCTTTAAAATCCACTCTTCTATATGTTAAAATAGTGGATTTTACCATCGCTCCACCATCTCTCCAACTCCCAAAACCTCACCACAGCCGCCTTTCCACAGAGAAGCCAGAGCGATGCGAAAGTGCAGATGGGACTCAGGACGGACCACTGCAGGTTCAGCCCGGCCCACTTCACCCACCTCAACTGATGTCATGGCAGGAAAAATGTGGATCTTTGGAGTTTGCCACGGAAAAATGTGGATCATGTTTCCCTAAAGAAAAACTGGGATCCTGGCAGTGAAAAAGTTGTGACTATTGAATGGGCCTAGTTTTTGTGACCATTGAAAAAGGGTTGACCGAAAAAAACCGTTTGGGAGAATTGAGGTCACAACTTGAATGGTCTGGATATGATAGTTCATGATAGTTCCACAGATTCGTTGGATCGTTGGCTATCACGGCAAATTCTATGGATTCGTTGTCAACTTATAACAGAAAGGGGGCCGTGGAATCAATGGAAATCTGTCGATGTGTGTCTGCCAGGCTGCGATTTTTGGAGGGAACCCCAAACAAGAAGTAGACTTCCCCATTTCGAGGGTTGCTCCCTGGCCACCCCAGGTATCTTTTGGGGTTTCAATGGGGTAAATTAAGAGCTAGAGAATTGTAGGTTTTTGATGGTTTTTGCCTATATAACTGAGCTAAATTCAGACAAATCACCCATAATTCATCAGATCTATCTGAAAATTCATCAGATCATCAGATCACCCATAATTCAGACAGATCTTCAGTGCCTATAACTGAGCTAATTCAGCTTGATTTCTTTAGCACTCACCAGTTAGAAAAATGACCAAACATCGAAGGAACAAATTCGCCCTCTCCGAGTGGCAGCCCCACCCAGGGACCATCGGCCACATTCCTTGGCGGCGTAGGATGGGGATATGGCAGTGTGTCAAAAACCTATAGTACCCCTTTTTTGTTCACATCAAAATTTAGCTGGGATTTATGGATGTGAATAACCCACTAAAAATGGTATTAATAGGTATTGATCCATACCCATATTTCTATAGTTTGATGGAGTTTTTACAACCAACTTTTTGATGTGAGGGGGGCCACCTTGTATCATGACAAAAAAATAAAGTGATTACCCTTCGGTCATCAGTCGCATACAGAAACCAGCTGCAGTCCGGTGGGTGGCGGGAATTCCTGGAAGTAAATCTGGGAGTGTCCATCTAGCCGTGTGACCGATTACCAGAAGGTAACTTTGGGTGAGATGAATGGTAAACATTGGTAAACCATCCAGTTGCGCACAATCCTTTGGGATTTCCAGGAATTTCGATTTGGGTGGTTCTGCATGATATGTGTGGTTCGTGAAAAAACACAAGAGGGCCTTTCTAAAACAAACCATTTTGGTTGAAGTGTTGGGATCTATCTCTTGGAGAAGTGTCCAAAGGCTCGGGTGAGAGGAAAGATACCAGTCTGATTGACACTGCAAGCATGTTCGACCATCCACCCCAACCCACCACCTACACGGCCCCTCACAAATTTCACTGGAAGCCAAAACCTTGAGTTGCTCTCCCCACACAAGCTCATAGAAATTGACCTCGCATCAAATTTGCATGCTTCCATTTCATATATTTCATCCATCCAAGACCTCTCTTTCTAAACCACCACCGGCACCTCAGATCTATCTATCGGATTCCATCCCATCCCTCCCATCCCCTCCGATCCCTGAAAAACCCAGGTGCTCGTAGTTGTCATAGACCTCCGCGATGTAAATGACCGCAGTGTTGGCCCAAAAGAATCCCCAGTGGGTGAGCGCGCAGATGATCAACGCCTTAGAGCCCAGAGTCGAGGTCGATAGTTGGTGACCGCAAATGGCCTAGTTTGATCTGAGTATAACCTGGGGTATATCATGGGTTCATATGGCTTATAGATGGTTATAGAATGTTATAACATGATATAATATGCTATAAATCCCATTAAACCACTATAAAATCCCATTAAATCCCATTAATTCACTATAAATCACTATAAAATCCCATTGTTTCTGTGGTGTATAGCCAATGCCATCTGCACCCACCATCCCAGTCACCATATTTCAGGGGTCATCCGGAGGGTATACCCTCTGGTAATTTAACAGTTCGCTATTGAAAATGACCCAGTCGAAATCGTGGATTTACCCAGCTATAACAAATGGTGGATCTTTCCAGTTCGCTTTTTGTTAACGTTCACCAGGCCGGGTAATTTATAAACACCATTCACTACAGATATATCTAAATCTACTATAAACCACAGTTATTGGAGTGATGAAGCAACTTAAATTTCATAGACCACATAAAGAAGAGCCACAACCACTTTTTTTACTTCAACACCTCCATGACCTGTCTGGAACTGAGTTTCCACTGAGTGATGTTTTTGTTGGTTTATGATTCCCAGCTATAGATATACAGTAAACCATCTAGTTATAAATATGGAGTATACAGAATAAAAGACAATCTATAGTTATAAAGGATCTATACTCATAAATATGTTTATCTATTTATAAAGCATCTATAGTTGTAGACCAACTTAGCCATCTAGGGTCACCTTCCACGAGGTCGATCAAACCTCACCGCAAGTCAGCTAAAAGATATCGAACTGGCCAGCGCATCAATTGGCTTTTCTTTCAAGGTTCAAGCGAGTTCGGACAAATTGGTATAAATGTCCATATGAAAGTCATATAGAGTGGCAATTCAAATGGGGAAAATGATCATAAACCATCAAAAAAGTAGGGTAACCCGTGTTCGGATTCAGACAACCCATTTTCACATATTTTCATGATACATTCACCATGAATCGATCCGTTCGATTCTCTGTACGTTTTCGCTAGGTTAGCTCAGCCAGCCGCTCTTTTTCAAATGTGCATCCCTTGAAGCTGAAATCCTGATGTCTCCTGAAGGATTTAGGGGCTCCCAAGTTATGTTTATTGGTTTATAACATGTTAAAGCCCTTTGCCAGTGAGTTTGAGGGTTATAAATGAGCTTATCATTCCATAAATGGGGTTATAACTGACTTATAACTGGATATACTGTAACTCGTAAAGGGCCATAGCTGTATATAGCTGTAACATTGCATAACCCCATGAACGAAAAAACAGGCACCACAAAATGCATCCCGTCCCGTTGCCTAGACACAAATTTACGGTAGTAAGTTAGCAAAGGTGCCAGGGGCCCCCGTTCCTGCGCCTAGGCAACCTATGTTTTTTGGCGAATCAACCCATGTTTAGAAATAGCACCATCCAAAAAAAATAGTCAAAACTATAAGGAAAATATCATCTACAACATCCTGGAAACACATGAGCAGCGTCAAACATCTGGTTGCAAACTGGTTCTACTCTTGTGTTTATAGCTATTCCACTAGTGGATTGTTGGCTGATCCCTTTTCAATAGGTTAACAGACCCCCAATATCTGGGCAAATTATAATAAGTCACTACTGTAACCTGAAATGTTCGGCCATTTTGGGATGATTCCCCTATAAAAACCATAATTCCAGGCTTCGGGAGAACAGGGTTCGGTTGTTATAATTTGCCCAGATTATCCGTATAAAACCAGATAAAACCATATTATCCCATGATTATTCCGTTTTTATCCCATTAATGTGTGTAAAACAATGCCATAAACCACTGGCTTTGTGACACATTTCACCCGCGCCGCCACCGCGCGACAGTCTTGTAGCGCAGACGTCGTTTCAACATCCAGACGGCCCACAACTCGAAGGGCCCAGAGATAACCAACATGGTCTCCTCTGCGGCATCAATTTTTTGGGGGGATTTGAACCTGGTGATGAGATCATGTATGACACGAGTTTTTTTAGTTAATAACAACAGTAACAATAGAATATTGCGGTTTATTGTTGCTATTGTCATCATCATGTTTATTATGGATATTATTTACATATTATATATACAATTATATAAGATATTGTCTTCGCATATGATATATCTGCTGATGTGATTTGTGTTGAAATGGGATTACACCAACCATGATGGAGATAGCCAGCGGGAGAAATGATGGCTGATATATAAGCCATACCCTCCGGTGTCATGACACGTGGCTGCGAAATCGCACAATCCCAACGGAGCTTTTGAGTGGGAAAATCATCAAACTCAATGGTGGTGGATCTTCCAGCCAGCTGATTCCCAGAGGCTGGTGAATCATCCCATTACGGTGGCGATATACCCGGCCTGGTAAACATACAAAAAGCTATTGAACATGGCCATAGAAATAGTGGATTTTCCCATTAATAGCATGGTGGATCTTTCCAGTTCGCTATGTTAGTCATTACCAGAGGGTATCAGCCAAAATGCTGGTGTATCTAATCGAACCGATGGACCATCAGGTATCAAATTGTTGACCCATGGGGATGGGTCAGGATTCTGCTGCTGAAACCACATCCCCTCAAAATGTCATCATGAATCATGATCCGATGTGCAGAACAATCTCCCAGTGGATGGGGTTAGTTCATAATATTGACCCACCCCTAGGTGGGCACAAGTCAAAATTGGGTACTCTCTGGTAAACAAACCTGGCAATTCATGTCCAGCAATGCTTGATTTTGGGTGCGCGGATGGGGATTCGCTGGTGACTTTGCCACACTGGAGCCCAACATTCCTGTTGTAATTGGTTATTCAAAGTTTTACAACCAAATTTTAAATATGTTTTACTTGTTTGCTGGTTGGATTGCTACTTCAGTCGGTAGAGACCATAAAAAACTGTTGCCGAACTCATGGCAAATCTTTGATTCCAAAAAAGGTTCATCTTTTGCTGAGTCTATCTTCAAGATAGATGGCCTTCTGAAAAGGTACAGGCCATTTGGCCCCCCCCAGCTATATAAGTTGGTGAAAAAAAAAAACGATTACTTCTAGTTCTATCATGATCATCATGTTCTATCCCCCTAATCGTTCTGGCTTATAATTGTCCCAGCTACCCTCTGGTAATTTAACATAGCTATTGAAAAAAAACATAGAAATAGTGGATTTACCCAGCTATAAAATGGTGGATCTTTCCAGTTCGCTATGTTAGTTGACCAGAGGGTACTTTTTAAAACCCCAACAGTTCACCCAGTTGGACGTCAATTTAGCGATTTCGTCAACTTGGTGAATCACCTTTACCAGCCATGACACGGTGGCGTGGGAGGAGGAGTGCTGGCGCATGTAACGCGTATCTCCTGGGTGGGAGGCAGCCGTGCTTTACAGCGATCACTCATCATAATTAACGATTCATCATGGTTGTAGCTCCGTCGTGTGTGTGTGTGATATATATCCACTAGGATTATACTGGTTATATTATACTGTTATTATACTGGTTATATATACTGGTTATTATTATACTATACTGGTTATTTATCCTTAACTGGTTATATCTATATACTCAGTTGCTAGGTGTGTCGTGGTTAACGTACGAGATCGCTACCACTGGAGGGATCAATGGTCGGTAGAGCTACCACTAACTTGGAGATCCCGCTTAGTGGTTTTTCATGTGGGGATGGGTCAAAACCTTGTACCCCTGTAGTTCACATCAAAATAGCTGGTAAATGGATGTTCATCCCACTAAAAATGGTATTAATAGGTATTGATCCATACCCATGTGGTTTATGATGGTGTCCCGCTTTAAAAAAAAACGGCCGTGAAAACGGGGTCTAGCCTATTGGACAAAGCCGCATCACGAAAGAGGTTGGATCCCAGAAACGATTTACCACCGGTATGCCCCAAGTGGGTGCCCGGTGCTGAAAAAAACCTGGCCTCTTCGCAGGATCCGGCCGGAGTTTGTTCTTATGAAGTTTGGGGGTCGTGGCTGAAGTTTTATCATGAAGTGAAGGGCGATTTGAGCCAATCTCTGGAAACCATAAAATATAATGACTGTTACCATTTAGTTATTGAACATAGCCATGGTACAGATGGCCCATAGAAATAGATGGTTTACCGAACTTAATAGCATGGTGATTTTCTATGGCTACGTTAAATACTCAGAGGGTATATTGAGTCATACTTCTACGATATCAAGTCATACTTCTCGTGGCGTTTTGTTCCCTCATGTGCAACTGGCTGGTAGCCATAGTTCCAAAAAGACAAAGAAACACCTCTCGGCTGCAGGCGAAATGCCGCTGGCATACATCCAGAAGGGCCAAGCCCAAAGTTCGTCAGGCTTCAGAAACTTATCCTGGGTTTTGGTTGATTTGGGCCGGGTCCAACAAAACATTAAGAAAATACGCATATGTATATATAATAATAACATATATATATATATAAACCTATATAAAATCATATAAATTCCCCATTTCTGGTGGGTAATCTTTACCAACATTTAAAATTATGATCCAGAAACTTCTAGCTCGCCAATCGACATGGTCAACAACAAAAAATGGGGTGGACGATGTAAATAGGTGGGATGCAACTACTATCTACAGTACCCTCTGGTTAACTAACATAGCAATGGAAAATCACGATTTTTAATGGGAAAATCTACTATAAATGGCAATTGTCAATAGCTATGTTAAATTACCAGAGGGTACTTGGATTTGCTTGACAGGGGCCAAAATAAGAAAACATGCTCTCGATACCCACATGGTGGATTTCCCATTGGGTAACCCATACCCCGTTTGCTTCATAAAGCCATAAATCTACCATAAACCATCGAATTTAAGCGCTGCAAAATAGACCACCTCAATCCAGCCAAATTTTGGGGTTCCACCTTGCCTTGGGGCCTTTCCCATGATAGAAATGTCACATCAAACTCCAACAGTAGCAAGGTCGCGGACTGAATGGGCTGCAGCCAGCGCACCTGCGGTGAGCTCTGCGAGTTTCTCGCTCTCCCCAAGGTGACCAAAAAAATAAAATGTCGAGAGTGCTGCCACCTTATGACTGGCCTCAGAATATACAAATATAAATAAGTAGACAAATTTTAGATCTACGTTATATATATATATTATAGCATATATATATAATGCGTCACATATATATTTACATATTATAATGCATAAGTACTCAATAAATACATAAAACAACATAATGATACATAATGTGTCGTAATGTAAAATAAGTAATAGTGTGTTTTTTCCGTTATGGCAAGCGGCATCCGAAACAAGAACCGCCAAGGCGAAGGTTCACGAAAAAATCATGGAGTTCGTCAATGGGAAGGATGACATCCCATATACGACATGGAAAATAAAAGTCATGTTTGAAACCACCAATCAGTATATATATATAAGTGGACTACATAACCTATAGGTAGACAAATATATATATATATATGTCCCGCATGACTTGTGTATATATATATGTATATATGCTATAATATATATATCCACCAACCGGCTTCATGTCTTTCCAGTTTTTTTTCAGTCTTGAGACTTCATTCGGTTGACACTTTACTTCTTCCATGTTGATCATTGGCGCAACTGCACTGGCAATGGGTTCCCGCAACCTGGATTGGTTTTGTTGGGAAAATCTTAACCGGAAACCAGAGATTTTCCCATGAAAGTCATGGGGCTTAAACCAGTAGATTTTCCCAACAAAACCAATCCATTGATATTCTGGTCTTGGTCGTGATGTTCGGTATTGTTGATGATTCGATATGATTCCTCGGAGAACTACTTAGGCTCGGTGACACGGTGATCGTGTTTTGTTGTTAGTTTATGGGATTCAGTTCCCAACGGATCACTTCTGTGATCTTATTCTGGTCTAGTCTCGGGCAGGAAACCTACAGCTGGAGTAGTTACCAATTGCTTGGACAGGGTTCCAATTTATGGATATTGTTCATGGATCATTCATCATACATCTCATGGCAATGTATGGCAATGTTGTACTTTTAGCGAAATAGAGGGTCGGGTTTGGTATTTATTGTCATCTACCTATTGGCAGTAGCCTGCTTCGTTTCATGGAAGGAACCCTCTCTTTCATCAACCAGTGGGAACATGACATCTATGTCTCACACTTATGGCCCGTTTCACAGTTATAACTGGCTCATAACCCCATTTAAGTGATATTATATATATATGCTTAGTTGCAGGAGTTATAATTCCATTTACAACTGTTAAGGGCTACAACTGCATGGAATATCGTAACTCTACCTGTAGGAGTTTTGGCCATCAAAATCTCCGGGTTGAGTCTCTTGTCTGATGCAGTGACTGTCGAGGTGAAGATTCTTGCAGTTTCACCTATAAGTTTATAAGTAGGTATATAGTTATAGTCAGAGAGGTTCTATCCCAAGTAATAGTAGTTATAACCTGTACCCGCTATACCATCTTATGCCTACTTAAAATTACGACTGGAACTGCACTTCCAAGTAGGGCTCTCCAAGGAAACCTTGCCACCTCAGGAAAAAATACCCCTAAAACCCTGGCAAAAGTGTGGGATCTTTTCGTTTGGTGTTCCCTGATAGGAATATATACTAACTATCGAGGGAAGGGATGATGATCATTGCATATCATTGCATATCATTTCTATCATAGAATTGTTAGTATGATATTGTAATACATGTCCCATTTTATTTCTTCAGAAGTATCCACATACAATAAACATTATCATTGACATTATTATCATTGCATATCAATCGCGGATTGATCAAACCTTGTCAATAGGTGGTTCTCCCAGGAAAAATGAGTTCCTGCTAAGGAACATGTTTCCCCCCGCTATTTAACAGCTAGGGAGTCAACAGCCATCCGGGCTTTCACTAACAACACAGTGATGACTTGTTGGTTGTGTGTTGAAATTACATTATATATACAGTATAGTATAATGGTATTCTTGTTGTAATATCGTTTTATCATGACTTTTCAGTAGAAAGTAAACCAAGAAGAGCAGTGTTGAAAGAAAAAAAACACGAAACAAACTCCAGAAATCATCAACAATCAAAATGTCAAAACTCATCCATTTACAAAAATACATAAAAGTCCGGCAGTCAAACTCCCATCATCAAACTCGTCACGGCTTTTAAAAGCGACCTTCCACAAGACATAGGGCAACTCCCATCCGATCTGCGCCAAACCACTCGTGAGCACCCACATCACCTGGCGAACTCAGGAATAAAATAGGAGGATTGTTGGAAGCAGAAGAGCCATGGTTTGTCAAAAGTTATATTTTGTAAGAAACTCATTGGTGATTTCAGGGGATTTACATACAAAACTGCGTTTTAAATCCTGGTTTTTAGGGGTGTAAATGGTGTAAACACAACATGGGAAGCGAGAACAATCGCCCCTGAAAACTCACATGTTGAAGCCTTAGATATGGCTATTTCATTTATGTGAGAAGACCCTATCTTCAAAGTGTCACTTGTTTGCTGATTCCTACATAGTGGGTATCCAGAAGAGCTATGTCTTGATATCAGGCTCTGTCATCAAGCAGGGTTGAGCCCAATATCCCAACCTGTTAGCTATCATGTACCCTCTGGTAATTTAACGTAGCTATTGAAAATGACCATTAATAGTGGATTTTCCCATTAAAAATGGTGATTTTCAATAGCTATGTTAAATTACCAGAGGGTAGCTATAGTGGGTTTGAGGCCCCTGTCAAGGATTGCCATTCCAGTGAACATGTGACATTGATTACCCTCTGGTAATTTAACATAGCTATTGAAAATGACCCATTTATAGTTGATTTATGTTGATTTTCCATTAAAAATGGTGATTTTCGATTGTTATGTTAGTTTACCAGAGGGTACTTGAAACAACACAAGACAACGGCCTCTCATATGCCACTGAGTGTTGAGGAGGATAATATTGACCAAGTATGCATGGTATAAGTATGTGACTGTGTATGTACACATATATATATATAATATCCTGATTATTATGTACAATAATGTACAATATGATACAATATGTGTATCTGAAAATAGTAATAAGCTAACCAAACGCGGATTCATCTGCTTGTTGGACCTAAACTTACCCATATATCATTGTTGTTTTAGCCGCAGGAATTCCACCTGCACCCCCGGCCCAAAAAAATGGGTTTTTACGGTCAACCCCAAACCCAATTTGATCCTTTGGTGTTAACATGTTTTAACAGTTTCTACGATAGTTTTATCCAGTTGCAGTTTTTTTTTTGAAAAAAAATCACTGAAGATCATGGCGGTTTTCCCATGTCCATGGATCCAACAATCTTTTTCGACAACACGGATCTCTCGCCACGCAAAAAAAAAGCCCAGGCGCCACAAACTCCTCCCATCGCTGAATCCAAGTTCTCTTCTCCTTGGATTGAGCTTTTCAACCAGAAGTGAACCATAGTGAACCATAGTGAAATTTTGTGCATGGAAAACATGGTTTTTTGGGTCATGTTTTTGTTTGGCAAAGATTTTTGAAGGGATTTAAGCCATTCCCCAACAAGCGGTGATATATTGTGATACCCTCTGGTAAACTAACATAACTATGGAAAATCGCCATTTTCAATGGGTAAATCCACTATAAATGGCCATTTTCAATAGCTATGTTAGTTTACCAGAGGGTATTCCCCAACAAGAATCAAGTGCACCAAAAAGAACATCTCTTCCAGATTTCCCACTGTTTTGTGCTTCGTTTTGTCGCCTCCAAGCGTCACCTGCATTGTCAACAAAGGCAAAAACTGAGAGCCAAAGGCACAAAAACCTGGGCTTAGCAGATGACCCTGTGGCACCAACGAACCAACACCTGTGGAACCATCGAGTTGGAAAATCTATGAAAATCTCAGAAAAGAAATGGAAATCCTACAGAAACCTTCCCGGATCGATATCTGTGTGGTGTTTCAATTATTGATATTGTTGTGTTTCGTTTTGTACCAACATGGGCAACCACACTATCAAAATAACATAACATAACCACAACTTTTGGGGAACACGAAGGAACATGGATGACTCCTGTTACTTGAGCCACCCCTATCCCGTCTCATTATACTAGTTGGTTGATAGTACTACGGATTATCATAATCCTCACTAAATTACAGTAGGTAGTATAACTCCCTATACAACTCCCTATATCAAGCAATTGGCTAAAACACTTTTAATGGATCACTTGAACGTATGAGTCAATTTGGATCATCATTGGGATGAAAACATGTGAAACCACCCACAGGATGTGAAAAAATGGACAGTTCCAGCAGATGCCTCAAATGGTGATGTGAAAATATATATGATACTATCTATATATATATATTATACATTATGTATCTGGATTGAATAAACTGGAAAATAAATAATCATCAAATCCAGGATCCTTAATCGGAACTGAAAATTGGTTATATCATATCACACCTCAAATGGGGATAGAATTCTTAGAAACCAACACATTCATATCATGATGTAACTGAAAACCTTGCAAAATCCGATCGGTTCCTTGCAGGACGAGTTAGCGAACTCCCTGGTGATCTAATCAGCGTTCTAATCTCCGGTTTCTTGGGTTGTTATCTCCGGTACTAGGCAAACAGGAACGCATTGCAACTCCATATTTTGAGATCTTTAAAAACTATACTAACCAGTGATGACTGGTGCAATCGGCTCCATCACAGGTTGGTTTCTGGAAGCCAGGATGGTTTGGCAAAAAGACGAACTTTGTTTAACAGGAGATCCCCAAGAATTTCAATTCGTACTGTGAGATAATTCATAATTCATACTGTGCAATTCCATCAAACACAGTTCGACTACAAATCATAAGCCCAACTTTCATCAACTGGGGTTTCACTATGCTTGTGCTAGCGTGTACTTCCGTTAAATTCCATGAATTAAATGCAACCCCATGTCAATCACTTGCAGAAGCCAGGCAACGCGGTAATGCCGCAGTAGTCATCCGTGGGGTCTGGGGGGAGATACTGGATGTACACCAGAAAGTAACCTGCCGGCGACCAAAACCCAAGATGTCGTTCTACTTGGGCGTCTCTGAAATCTAGCGTTGAAAACCCAGTTGGTTGTTAATCCTAGCTTGTGAGTATAGGTGAGTTCACTCTAGCTATATCATCTGGTTGGTGGTGCAATCACCGTCTTGAAAAATCATGGAGTTCGTCAATGGGAAGGATGACATCCCATATATGATATATGGAAAATATAAAAATGTTCCAAACCACCAACCAGATTATAATTATATATATATATGATATATAATGTTAACAATATGTTAACTATAATGATTATATGTCGTATATACCTGATGATATCATTGTATATATATATAAGTGGATTACATCACCTACTTGGCTCACCTTGGCTCAGCTACGCGGATGAACCAGCAAAGCCGAAAAGAAAACCAGCGCCTAAGGTGGCCCAGAGGAAGAGAAGCGTGAAGCAAATGACGTACAAAACGCCTCACGCGGGATCTCCGGCTGTTTCACTTGAGCCATTAAAAATACCCCTATCCCATCTCATTATACTAGTTGGTTGATAGGTTTCCCTATTATGGGTTATCATAATCCCCAGTAAATCAGGTAGTATAATCCCCTATAGCAATCAATTCACCAGGGTATTTTTAATGGCTCACTTAGATGGGCCATGGGATTGACGATTCCTGGTCATCGTTGCGACAAAAATATCACGAACTATCCCAATGATAATGCAGTTGCTGTGAATGAAGTTAACATAACTAGTAGCTAGTTACTCCCCGAATCGAAACCCACAAATTATATATCCCTATTATAACCCATAAGTAACTACTAACTACAGTAGTTACCTAACTCCCCACATTCTGCAAAGCCCTGTGGTGCAACCCAAAATAAACATCAACACATGGGAAAAAGTGAGGTGCTAAGTTTTATCAAGTTTTGGGGTCCCCCCCATTGTCAAACAAACCCAATTCTCCAACGTGGTGGTGGAACAATAAGTGGTTGGTGGTGCAATCACCATCTTGAAAAATATGAGTCAATGGGAAGGATGACATCCCATATATTATGGAACATAAAACATGTTTGAAACCACCAACCAGATTGTAGAAATGGAAGTGAGGAGTGATAATGAGGATTCAACCGGCCAGCAGAAACTTTTGAACCATCAATCTAGTAGAGTCTTGGCATATGAGGATTTCCTGAAATAGGGGTACCTCCAAATCAGCCAAGATTAGACCATTCAAACATATTCAAACCTATGGTGACGACTGGGGATCCCCCATGACTTAAGAACCCCCCCATATGCTCTCGTGGATAGTCATCCCCAAGAGTACTCAGTCCAGACCTTCTGGATGGGGGTTGTGTTTGGGAAGTGCCCTACGTGAAGGGACTTTCGAAGAGGGAACCTCATGGAAATCTTGCAAGTAATTGGATGCGACGTTTTGGTCCCCAGAGTTAAGGTATGTACTGGTTGGTGGTGGTTTTAACCATCTTGAAAAATCATGGAGTTCGCCAATGGGAAGGATGCCATCGCATATATGAAATGGAAAATCACAAATGTTCCAAACCACCAACCAGTATAAGTTGGTTGAAAAGCAACAAATAAAACAACCATCTACCATCATGGTGAGGTCGGTCAGTGAGGTCTCCCAAGTAACCTATGGATGTTGATTCCTCTTGTGGGTCAGTAATCAATGAGTATTGTCTGTTGCGAAAATGGAACCTGTTGAAAACGCTCTACTTCCATGTTTTTGGAAAGGTGGCTGGATAAGGGAGCAGTTTCTGGATGTCCTAGAGGGAGTCAAATTACAACAATGGGGTGCCGGGTTATAAGTTGGTTCATAACCCCCATGATCCATAAATATATCTCCTATAAACCATAGTGGACATACGGGGCCTCACCTTTCAGAATGTCGTGGAGTGCTGGGAAATTTGGGGACGGCAAGATCGAACTAGTAGCCCCCTGTCCAAATATGTTCATAATTTCAAATGGGCTAGGGGTTAAGGATAGTGTGATACATGGATGTAGAGAATCAATGGAAATTAATTAAGATAATGGAACTACAATGTTTTTTCCCACTAGTGTTGGGCATGGTTGTGTTTTTTTTTCATTTTAGTCATTTTGGGATTCCCACAACGGTGCCCCGTTCCAACAGAAGCGGTCAAAAAAGCGCCTCGCACGCCGCGGCCAATGTCCATATTTCCAAACCTCGGCTCTGCCAAAACAATGCCGAAACTGCGTAACTGATGGGCTTTATCGCATATTTCATGAACAATATGTCAAATATTTCGTACTCCCAGACTACTGACATGCGAAGGAAGTACGTTTAGTGGCCCCAGAACATTATGTTGAGTAGTTAGGAAAAAGTCCATGTGAGCAGTGTTCAAAACTCTCTGTCGTCCCATTATACTGGCTGATTAAGAAAGGATTTCTTTCCAGTTCATGGATTGTGATAATCCCCAATATACAAAGGATAGTATACTCCCCAAAGTAATGATCAAACAACCATCATTTGTCACGTGATACTTAAAACCTCTATGGATGATGGTCAAATTACCATTGGATAGTATAACCCAGTATCATATAATCAACCAACTGGGGTTTAGCAACCAATCATATCCCATTATATCATATTATATTCTATAACTATATGAATTCCAGTTGAGATTCTATTGTAAGCTAATTGTTGGCTATATCCGAATTCCGATATAGATATATCACATCTCCCCATTCCACCCATGTTCTTGGTAAGACCTCCAGTCAATGGGAATTCCAGGATCCAATACATGGAGGTACATAAACGTACCATATTTCAATATATTTCAGGCCATATTTTGTGGGGATATTCCCTGAAAATTTAGGCCTAAAAAATCGGTTTCTCTCCAATGAATCGGATCCTACAAATATGCCCCGCGTGGCCAGCCATGGGTCAACAATTTTTTTTTAGCTGATAGTCCATTGGATCGATCAACCCATGGACGCACCAGCATTTTGGCATATGGCAGTGGGTCAAAACCAATAGTACCCCTGGTGAACATAAAAATAGCTGGTAAATGGATGTGAATAACCCACTAAAAATGGTATTAATAGGTATTGATCCATACCCATTTGACCACCAAAGCTACTGGCTCATCGGTGTCTTTGCCACCGGCGTCTGCGCCATGGCCACCGCTGAAAGCCACCGCGCGCAACAAAACGCGCGCCAAGGGTGTGTCAGGACACGCGGCTGCGGTGGCTGCAGAGACAACGGGCTAAAGTGGGTTGGGTATCACATGGTATCACGGTATCAGGAAAAAATGGGCCCAAAATGAATGTGTCCAAAGTCATGGCCATGACTAACACATCCAAAGTCTTCGATCCAACTTTAGTTTGTTTCAAGCCACGGCTTGTGGGATACCCCCCAAAGAAAAAGACAGCCCCGTTGATGTGCCTAATATATAGTATGTCTAAGATAGTAGGTATCCCTCTGTTGTTTTATGGGAACAACTACATTGTACCAATGTGGTACCCCCCAGTTATAAGTTAGTTTATAACCCCCATCAACTATAGATATATCTACCATAAGTCCCACTTATTGTAGTTATAAACCAACTTAGCTATCTATGGGGCACCACTATGTACATGAAAGCCTTTAGTTTTCCCTGAAAGACCAAGCCATTGATGGCATCACAGTTAACTCCCACCAGATCCATAGTTATTGGCTTACTGAAAAACCCCCATGGCTATATGTTTCATCAACTTTCGTTGGAGTTACCCAGGAAAATGGTGGTTTAATGGTGGTTTAATGGGGTTTAACCAACAAAATGGTGGTTTTTATGGGATTTACCCGGTCTGGTAAACTAACACTTTGCGAATTTGAACATGGCCCAGTCGAAATAGTGGATTTTCCCAGCTATATAGCATGGTGGATCTTTCCAGTTCGTTTTTTTGTTAACGTTTACCAGAGGGTATCTTCACTAATGGTTGACTGTTGGGTTTATGGTGATAAAACAAGAGATGATACTGTAAATAAGATACCAGAGGGTATGGCTCTTCCCATGGTCTGTTTAACCGGCTCCTAAAACCGGCGAGGTTCCACGCTTCAGCTTCTCCAAGAGGAACGCTGCCAGGTCAGACTGTTCGAAGCGAACTTGTTTCGTGGACATCTTGGAGGGCAGGGCCATGATGGGCGCCTGCCAAGTCGTCAAGTCCGTCAAGTCCCGTGGTGCGTTAACGCGTTTTCACGGCAGCATGGGATCTCGGATGGATGCAGAGGCTCTGGAAGAATGATTCAAGATTTTTTGCATGATTAGTTTCCAATATTATGATTATAACTATCATATACTATCATATATACTCATATTAAATTATAGATGTACATGAAAACCATCATTCACGACATCATTCACTATCATTCGAATCTCGGACGTTGTTCATCATCCCACGCCTCCATGGCCGCTTGCACGAACTTCTTCTTTCCATCCGCCCAGGCTGCTGCTGGGCCGTTGGAAGTGAACCTCGATCTGTCGTGGTTTTTTTTTACAGGTCCATGGCTTCGATAGGGAAGAAAACATCCCATGAAGTAGCCATAGTTGGTGAGTAGGATTACAAGGTACCAAACTTTTAGCCAACTAGTTAGAATATCCATGGTTTGGTAGGATAGTTGGTTAGTTAGATAGCCAACTAAAAATAAAATACCATCTGGTTTTTAACATAGCCATGGAAAATCACCATTTTTAATAGGTAAACCATCTATAAATGGGCCATTTCCCATGGCTATGTTAGTCATAACCAGAGGGTAAGTATTGTACTACTGTACATCAACGTAAAAATCGCGTAAACAACGGTGGGGCCCCAGAAAAAACGACATCGACGAGTTGACGCACAGCCAACGGATGGTCAACGGTTGGGTCGATTAGAGGGACATAGCTATAGCCTATAGTTTTCATTGGTTTATTTTCAGCAACTCAAATACCATGATGTCTGGTCGAATTCAGCTATGAAAAATACCCCCTATAAATATATATATATATATGTATATATATATATATATCATATACCCTCTGGTAAACTAACATAGCCATGGAAAATGGCCATTAATAGTGGATTTTCCCATTAATAGCATGGTGATTTTCCATAGTTATGTTAAATTACCAGAGGGATCCACCATGGTGGATGATCCGGGGGTGTTTCATATGGGGGAAGCTTCAAAAATGCCAAAGCCCCATGACCTTTAGTTGGAACCCCCCAGGAACTATAGATCTACTATTAAGAAATTATTTAACTTACCATGGAAAAATAAGTTAGAAATTGTTTTATTCCATCTTCTATAGTTCTATATTTAATTATTTCAGGACATTGCAGAAATAGTTAGAAATCCATTAACTATTATCCATTACTGCTTGGTGGTTTTTCGCCTACCCCTCTGAAAAATCATGGAGTTCGTCAGTTGGGATGATGACATTCCCAAAAAACATGGAAAGTCAAAAAAGATGTTCCAAACCACCAACCAGATCTGGTTTATTGGGGAAAAAAAAGCACGATAGATTCCCCAAATGGTGGATTTTCCATTCGAAAAATAACAAATCACCTTAAACAAACCCATGATAATCCATTAACTATATACAGTTGTAAACCCTAAATGATCCCAACTATGTACTTTTATAAATATCCCCCCCCCATTGAATCCACATCCTTTGGGGGTGCTTACTATGAAAAAGGGCTGGGATTACTTGGAGGATGGCGTACACCAGTTTGGGCCATCTTGGCTTATAAACACCATGATCATATCCCATAGGATCCATGTATGGTATATATGCTAACATTGGGGGTATATGGATGGTAAATGTTACCATATATAGCATACATGGATCCTATGGGTATGATCTATATATTTACTCTAAACCTTAGTTCCATAGTTAATCTAGTCATGTTCACCAACTTGGCTCAGATTCTCAGATCATATCAGATAAACCAACTATCCCCATCTTTTGCGAATGAATTATCGCCTTGTTTTCCACCATGTTCGATGGTTAAATTCCATTCATCCACATCCTTCAGCCCAGCCGAAAAACTTCTCCGTGTCGATAAGAACATGACGGCATTTCACCTCACGAATGAGGAAGCCGAGGATGGCAGAAAATTTGCACCGGTTGGAAACTATTACCCCTATGCTCTATGTATGATATGTATGGTATATTTCCCCACATGTGGATCATTTTTAGGGCAAATGCTGGTAAATATTGCACACATGGAGCATATGGGTTAGGTAACTATGAAACACTGTAAATCATGGGATAATGGGATAAACATGGATAAACCATCATCATCATCATTAGCATCTCTCGAAACTATTACGAGAGACATGGAGTAAGCGGTGAATATTACTTGAACATAACATAACATAATAATTAATAACCATTGAAATTGGGTTCTGCAGAAAATGGTGATTTTAACCAGTACTCAAATCTCAAATTTTAAGATTTGTTGCAAACCAAATGTGTGACAACCACTAACAAAATCTGAGTTTTCAGCAACAACACTGGCAACTTCACAAACAGAATGAGATATTGTCAGCAACAAAGATGGGTAGACAGCAGCTATATGGGTTTAATATGGTTTAATCAAATAGCCATTTGAATGGCAAAGACCATGATTTGGATACCTACCAGTGAATCATGGTACCTATAAAATTTAAAATGGCAAATAACCTATTTGAATCACCATCAAATTTGGTGGGGTACCTATTTTCAGACAACCCGGGTCCAGTTTCGGTCAGGCTCCCAGAGGCCCTTTGAGCCGGTGGCGAAGCCGGCCAGCTTATTTTCAGTGGAAGGTAGATGTGAAACCCAAAATCCAAAATGAACAAAATGTGATGAACATCCATTTATGTTAGAAACCCGAATCCACCTTCTATTTTTATGCTTTTTTCTTGAACAAATGTAACTTTATTCACGGAGGTTTGCCACACGGTTTTAGAACCGGTTTCCAAGCCTGTGATGCCTAATACATCATGAGCTTGAGGCCAGTTCAGCCATTTAGCAAACATGGGGAATATATACAATGTGAGGCCCCCCAGTTATAAGTTGGTTAACAAAAGCCCCAGTAACCAGTTCGTTATAAGTACCAGAAACCATAGTGACATTGAAGTTATTTGCACCAACTTAGCTATCCAACGGGGGCCTCACATTGTAAGCTTAGAATATCCGGCGAAACTTTCATGTGCTTGGGAAACTCAATTTTCAATGGATATAATGGATTGGTTTTGTTGGGAAATCTTCACCGGAAACCATCCGATTTTCCCATCTTCAGATCATAGGGCTTAAACTTTTTTCCAGTCAATTTTCCCGTGTTTTCACCAATCCATTGACTTTCCTATGGTTTTCCTATGGTTTTCCTATGGTTTTCCCATGGAGGTTGCCCCATAACCCGCGATACCCATGGCTCCGAACGCCACAAAAAACCATGGCTACGGATCGAAACCGGATTTTGTGAGGTCCCAGTTCCACCATTTTTCTGGGTAAATTATATCAATATCAATATCAATAATTGTATATATAATATGGCAATTTCTAGTGGATTTACCCATGAAAAATGGTGGATCTTTCCATAGGTCTGGGTAGATGAAATAATAGTTCACTCACCTGAATAGTTAAGGCCCACCATGGGGATCATTTCCCCTATAAAAACCCATGGATTTCCAGGGTTCGGGAGAACAGGGTTCGGTCGTCATGAAATTTACCCAGATTTTACTAACGTTGACTTATTCTATATCTGGTTGGTGGTAAAAAGGCCAGAAACATTTTTTGGTAATCATGGCGATTTATCCACAGCCCGCTGATACTTAAATCATCTTCAATCCACCATTTTACAAACGTATAGTGTATTATAGTATTGATAGATGGTTATAGATGGTTATAAAATGATATACCATGATATAATATGATATATATATATACTGGTTGGTGGTTTCAACCTACCCCTCTGAAAAATATGAGTGAAAGTCAGTTGGGATGATGATTCTTCCCAACTGAATGGAAAGTCATAATCCATTCATGTTCCAAACCACCAGCATTTTACACGGATATTCACTTACATAGGCCTTATATATGGAATCGGTACCTCCAATACTTCGGTTCCTGCAATGACCATTGATATATGGCATATTTTCTGGTTTATTGGGAAGTCATACCCTCTGGTAAACGTTTACATAACTATGGAAAATCACCATGCTATTAATGGGAAAACTCACTATTTCAATGGCCATTTTCAATAGCTATGTTTGACATAACCAGGGGGTAATCCATTCAGAATCCATAACCCATGGTTCCAGTCACCACCAACCCCCCAGGTTTCGTGGGTTTCGTGCGCACTAAGTGACGCCCTTGGCGGTCCACCAAATGTCCACGCAGGCGATCTTCGTTGCATCCTGGACGGCCGCGTTGCGACGACCCAGCGACGTACGGAAGGTGGGAAAGTCACGTTTCTGGGGCAAAGGAATCAAAACGAGTCAAAAGAAATAGGTTAAAAAAAACCATAAAAATAGTTGGTTAATGGATGGTTAATGGATGTTTCTTCGGCTAATAAGTCACATCTACTATATCCTAAACAATAATTGGTTCATGGATGTTTCTTCGGGTAATAAGTTATAAGAGGTTTTGACCCGTAGCCACATTGGAAAAAAAATAACAGGTCTCTATGTTTGCAACAAAAAACCTGGGTGAGTCAACAAAAAAGATAGGACTAGGTTAACTAGCTGAGTTGAAACCATGAAAACCTCAGCAACTGAACCAGAAAAAAAAAGTGATGTAACCAGCATTTTCCATGGAGATGTAAGACGCAAAAATAGTGATTTGGGGTTGTGAAGATTTAGGGAAAACCACAAAGAAAAAGATTGTTCATCAGTTCATCTTCCCTATCAAAATGACAATGTTGAAGGTAAAACATATTGAGCTACCTATCATATGATACTGTACTAGACAATTCCAATGTACTTCATATTATCAATGAAGTTGCTGTAAATTGTATAATGTATAATATGGTGGTCTCGTAAACTGGGGGTACCCCCAGTTATCATCCAATTATTGGGATTTTCCATGAAGTAAACCATCCAGCTATTATCAGCTATTGGGGTAGCCCCATAGCTAAAGAAACTCCCCTCTTAGAAGTATAATCAACGATGATTCTATAATATAATCATTTATGGATATATCATTAAGTAATAACTATGACTACACTATGGTATTCCAATATGTTTATATCATAATAAGTCTTTTGGTATATAATATAGTTACAATATTTATGGATATATCATATATTAATATTACTATTATTACATGATCATGGCCAATCTTAGATACCCTTGCAAAAACAAAAAAAGAATTCTTAGCTGGTGAATGTAGATTATTCCATTGATACCAAAAGACTAAAGGATTAGTTACTTTCTACCCATCCAATCCAAGATTGACCTAGATATGATCATATTACTATTATTACATTATGATATAGTCATTTATGGATATATCATATATCATGAAGGGCCTAACTATGATTACACTATATGGCATTATATCCCATTATCTCCATACAGTATGATATATATGTAAATGGATATATAAATAGATAATACTCATCCAAGATTGACCTAGATATGATCATATTACTACTATTACCCTCTGGTAATTTAACATAGCTATTGAAAATCACCATTTTTCATGGGAAAATCCACTATAAATGGCCATTTTCAATAGCTATGTTAAATTACCAGAGGGTATAACATTATGATAATACTCCCATTTACTTCGATGTTTTTTTCTTCATGGCTCCTGCCCCGTCTTCACGATCAAGGAGTCGGCCACTTCCTGGAAATTTGCGGCGCGCTTAAAGGTCATCCGGTCATCCCTTTATTAAAAAAAAAACATAGGGATTGAATGGGAAAAAAAAGTGCATATTCATATTGGCATATGGATCATGCTTTATCATGATTTATCATGATTTATCATGATTTATCATGATTTATCATGATTTATCATGATTTATCATGATTTATCTATACTTTCTGGCATTAGATTTTTTTTATGTGTTCCTATCCAATTGATGAATTCTTACTGGAATATCAATAGGATAGCAATGGATACTGATTTTGATATGTTTTATGTGTCCATCCCCCGTCCATACTAAGCACATCCTACATATGGGTCCTGATAACTAAACTAACTACACCATGGTTTTTAGGTGTTCAACATTAGGCGGAAAGAATTGATGGATGTAAATGAACACAAGATGCTTGCTGCTTGGTGGATATATAATCCCTCTGAAAAATGATGGAGTTAAAGTCAGTTGGGATGATGACATTCCATTCCCAACTGTTCATGGAAAGTCAGTTGATCCATTCCATGGTTCCAGTCACCACTCAAACCAGCTTGGATTATGGGCATTGCCGCTCTTCCTCGCCTCCTCAAAGACGGTGTGTTCGTGACCACCCAGAATCACTGGAGCTTTTCCACTCATGGTCTCGTGCATCTCGAACTGTTCCTCGGTCCGTTAGGTCGGTGAGTTGACGCCAAGTGGGGTGCGTGCGTGCGTGCGTTTTACGTAGGGTTGCTGGATGGGTGAATGGATGGGTTGCTGGGATGATGAAATTCATAGTTATTATGGATCATTCCCGAAAATTCCCTGCGTAAAACGCACCAGTAAGTTTTCTTTGGCTAAGTTTTTTAGACTTTGAGATTTTCCTAGATCTCTAGTGTGCCAATCGCTTGCCTCATCTGAAAGATTCCAGATCAGATCTTCATTGGGTCCCGGGGCCTCCCCTTTCAAAAGCAGGAGCTTGGGACAGTCTATTGATGTCTATTGTGTTGTAGTACTTGAAAAGAAACGGGTTTGTCTGAAATAGGGTATATTCCCAATTATAGCCATTTAATAGGGATAATGATCATTAACCATTGGGTTTAGGGGTACACTATTTTCAGACACACCCAAACAGACAAAATCATGTTCATTGACACAATGATCCAATGATCATGTTGGAGTTGTACACTTCTCACCATCCTTAAAAAACCGTGCAAACATGACCAGTTTCGATCGTCCCTAGCCACACCTTGGTCGGAGTCTGGTGTTTTTTGGTCCACCTTCCACATATCAGACATGGCAGGCACGCCTGAAGTTTATGCATCCTATATCCACCCATATCCCAGCGTCCTTCATAAGGAAGTTTGATCAGTTTCTGCATGGTTTCTGCCCATTTTCGGTCCGGTTACTCCCAGAGATTTTAAGATGTATCGAATCATTTGGAATTTGGATTTGAATAGAATTCATCATATTTCACTAACCTCAAAGGTTGGGCGATTTTTCAGAGACTTCCGCCTATCAACATCTATATGTGTTTGGATCCATTTTTCGTATCGCGAAATCCAACCATTTTCGAAAAATCCTGGGTTGAAAGGGGCTTAAAAATCGTCCCAAGCTTCGGCGAGTAGACGATCATCTTCGATCAGTTGATGTGTCATAGGCACCACAATGTCAATGTGCTGACCCTTGCTGCAGGCATCCTGCGCTATGCAAATACTACGCCGGTACTACGGAACGCGCTGTTCATGGAAAAATGTGTGGGGAGCTCCCAGTTTTCAAGAAGTTTGTTGGGTGAAAGATTTATCGAATTATGTATATATATATATACACAGAACACCATGATATGAATATAGATAAATTTCTTCCAGAGACAATAAAACAAATCACCTAGTTGTAAGCCAACTTAGCAATTCCGAACTTGAGGGCCTAAAAAAATGGTAAACGGGGCAAACTTCAAAGGAACCATTTCGGTGGTCTAGGAGTGCTTTTTCGGTGTCATGCATCAACTCTATATACGGTACATATGCATATATATATATATATGGTATAAATATGTAATGTATATAAATATGTGCGCATATATATATATAAGAAATACCATATATATATAGATACAATAAAGATTATGTGGTTCTATATATATATATATTATGTGTACATATATTGTTATACATAATTACACACACTAACAATAGAAAATTCCATGGAAAGCAGCACCTCGGTGATCATCCAAGGCGGTTTTACCATATTTCTGGCCCTAAAAAATAGGCCTCCAACATATGGCAGGGGGAGCTCCAACAAATCGGTACCTACAAAATGGCCATTGATTACTATTCATTGCCAATCAGCCAGATACCCTGCAAAAAATGGACCAAATTCTTTGCTGGTTAGTTAGTAGATATTCCCAGCCAAATACCAAAAGACTATTTTGGATTAAAGTATCCATGTAAGATTGACCTAGTATTTAGATTGTGTGTTTGTGAAATGATCCAAGATGTACATCAACATGTTATCTGGTTGGTGGTTTTTCGCCAACCCCTCTGAAAAATGATGGAGTTAGTTCGTCAGTTGGGATGATTATTCCATTCCCAACTTTTCATGGAACGTCATAAAATTCCATGGTTCCAGTCACCACCAACCAGTCATCATCATCATCCTCATCCCCCTACCCATCCCCCAACCGTAGGAATCTGAACATCATGGATATGAAATTACATCAACATGAACAGTGAGGTCGTTATAATTTATCCAGATATGTATATATCAATATGGATAATATGGATAACCACATATCAATATAAACCTATTATTAACCACATCAATATTGATGATATCACCCATATTAACCAATTATTATCCATATATACCAACCACATTTGATAAAACCATATTATCCCATGTTTATCCCATGTTTATCCCATGTTTATCCCATTGATGTGGGTAAAACAATGCCATCAATCAACTCTCAATCCCCATTTTGCTGGATATTTTTTACCCGCTGCCACGGATGGATAAACCCGGATTTCCTCCCAGGCTGCCATGATGGAGTGGACGAAGTCCTTCATCTCCTGAGTTTTTTTTTTAAGGGGCGCCAAGCATGGCTACAAAAGATGGTTCAATAGGAACGATCCTGGCAGAATACCCGGCCTGGTAATTCAACAGTTTGCTATTGAAAATGACCATAGAAACACTGGATTTACCGATTTACCCATTGAAAATAGTGATTTTCAATAGCATTCAATAGCTATGTTGGTTTACCCGAGGGTAATTTAGAAAATTGGGAAGTTGAAGATGAAAAATAGGGAGGTTTCATGGGATCTAGTGGGACTTCATGAAAATGGTTTATGAAGATCTTCATTGTAGATGTTATAGATATTTATAGATATTTATTAGATATGTACGTATAGATATTCATAGATGATATTCCAATTCAATGAACACTATCATCTATAATTTTTGAAAGATAGACAAGTGTTCTCAAGATGTTATAAATTCTAGATGATGTTTTTAACTTCCCATTTCAAGTTGTCCCACTTTTCTGCGGAAAGATATCGCTCATCTACTCTGGAAATCAACTCCGTGGCTGGCCAGAAAATCCCCACACTAACCATGGAGGTGTAGTTGGGAAAAATCATTGAACTACCCTCTGGTAAACTAACATAGCGAACTGGAAAATGGCCCAGTCGAAATAGTGGATTGACCCATTAAAAATAGTGATTTTCCAGTTCGCTATGTAAACGTTTACCAGAGGGTAAATGATGGATTCTCCCAATGATTTACCATGGAGTTACGGATCATTGCCTGCAGGGTGCCCATCCATGTCCCATCATATCCCATGCTCCAGCTTCAAATTCAAGTCGGATGGCAATATCAATGGGAATTCCAGGATCCTAAAATGGAGGTACTGTACCATATAAGGCCATATTTTGTGGGGATATTCCCTTACATAGGCCTAAAAAATATGCCTTATATATGGTAGGTACCTCCAATTTAGGTTCCTGAAATGGCCATTGGCAATATCATGGCACTCTGGTGGGGATATGTCATGCGATGTAATGGGATACAGATGGGATACAGTAGAAGAAAAGTCACAAAACAATGGCCCATCGGCCCATCTATATAATTAGAAGGTTCAAGGTTCACGTGGCAAAACTCAGGTAATTCACTCCACAAAGGAAATCCATGTCTTTAACTAGCAAAAGTGAAAGATGTTCCAAAAAAACATGCAGGTTTACGCAATGAAACTGGGACTTCGAATTTTTTCCACAGGTCACGAGGTCAGTTCTGGACACATTGGCGAGGTCAGTTCCCCCTGGTACCATCCTTTTCAAATTCGCTGCTGGGGCTTGTGGATGTTCATCCCCCAACTATGGTATACCCTCTGGTAATGACTAACAGGTTGCGAACTTGAAAATGGCCCATAGAATTTCGTGAATTTTCCCATTTTTCACATGGTGATGTTCCAGTTCATTATTTGTTAACGTTTACCAGAGGCTAGAACTATAAAAATAACTGTTAGTTGGATCATTATAACCATTATTAAACATTAGTAACCATTATTAACCATGATTGACCATTGATTAATCATTAACTGCATTGATGTAAAAATTGGGATAATATCGACTCATCCCAAGAGGAATTCAAAGAAGACAGCCAGTTGGATATATACCCTCTGGTTATGTCAAAATAGCTATTGAAAATACCACATTTATAGTGGAATTACTCACAAAAAAAACAGAGATTTTCCATAGCGAACTGTTAGTTTACCAGAGGGTATATCCACCACAAATCTTAGCTAACCCAGTGAACTAAACCAACTTAGCTAACCCTTTGGGGGCACCACATTGCAGGTATAGAACTACTAGTCATTATATTGGTTGATCAATATATAAGTATCCCACAATTATGGATTGTAAGTGATTGTAATAATCCCCTATGAGTGTAACCAATCAACCAAGTAGGATTGTCAAAAATAGTCCCCTATTCAAATGAGTATCCCTATTAGTATCCCATATGGGACTATGAATAAACCAAGCAGGTTTCTAATCCCCATTTCATAACCAAACTAGGGCATCTGAATTGGTTCAACCCATTTCATGTCGCCACTGATGAAATGGTTGCAATGAAGAAGCTATAAAAATAGATGCCAAAAATCGCATGAGGCACCACGTGATATATCTATGCCTAATATGACTGTTGAATCCCAATAATGTCCCATTAAACAGTAGTATCTTTTACTTGCCCTCTGGTAAACTAACATAGCTATGAACATCACCATTTACAATAGGTAAATCAACGAACTAAATGTACCATTTTCAGTAGCTATGTTAAATTACCAGAGGATAACTTCATTGATAATACGAAGTATGTGGGAATTATCTATAGTACGATATCATAGGATAGATGTAATAAGATATCATCGATAATCTCAATTACTGTATTTTATAATGTGGGTAAAACAATGCCATAAACCATCCCCCAGTCATCACCATAAATAGGTGGTATGTTTACCATTCCCAGTCATGGGTGGTTTATGGCATTGTTTTAACCACATTATACCATCTGATTATTTAATATAGCCATGGAAAATCACCATGCTGTTAATAGGTAAACCATCTATTTCTATGGGCCATCTATACCATGGCGAACTGTTAGTCATAACCAGAGGGTTATTCCAATTATTAACCATTATTAATCATTATTAACCAATATTAACCAGTAGCTTTACCAATGTTTTAACCACATTATACTTCTTTCACCACGTTTTTTTTCCATCCAAAAAAACTTTTCATCCAAAGAGCTGGACAGCTGTTTGCCGAGTAGATAGAGGGGTCTCCGATGCACAGGCCCACCATGAGCACCTTCTTGCCACCCACGTCCTGGAAAAAAACCATGGTTTAACACGAACATGGCACGACACGTGGCACACGTGGTGCGTGGAAAACCATGATTTATAGACTTCCAATTTCTTCCACTCACCCAAATCATGTTTAACATATGGTTTTAAACAAAAAATGAAACGGTGGTTAAAGCATTCTAGGAATTACGATACATATAACAAATGGTAATCAATATCTCAAATATCAAATACCTATTTTTTGCACCCCAAGTCATGAATAGATCCACTACTTACTAAATTCGGGCTTGGTTTTAAAATGTTGGGGAGATTCAATAGTACGGGGGAAAAACTAGTGTAATTCAGCAGCCTGACATGTAGCATCAGGACATGTCATTTTACAAATCCCAGGTTCCCAGATCAGCTTTAAGATGGCTTAGATGTTCAATATATGATCTGAACCAGGTTTAATATATGGTTAACATACTGATGTATAATATATATATATATGTATACTAATTGGCATTTTAGAATTCCCGGCCCAGACCATCTTCCTATGTTTTCCTACATTGAAACAGAAGAATGTACCAACGAGACGGATGCAGCGAGGTGGGCAAAAATCAAACGTTGGGGCTATACACCGTTGATACACGGCTGCCGGATCACTATCTATAAATAAATAAAGAAATATATATATATATAGGATTGTCCAAAAATGGGAGATACCGATACCCCCCAAAAAAAATTGCATTTGAATGAAGCACACTGATAGTCAGCCATTGATTTTTGAGATCCCCATTAGATTCCCGTCAAAAAATCATCATATCCCCATTCTGATTGGTTTTCGTACCCCCCCTACTCCAGACTTGAAACGTGCCAGCGAAAAGGCTCCATGTTCAGCACTTACCGCACTTGCGTAGCTTAGTTGTTGCATTTGGTTTTCGTACCCCTTACCTTAGATACCCTAGATACCCTGGAAACAAACATGTAAAAAGTATTTTTTGTGACTTGGTTAGTTGAATTTGTCCCATCAAACTGAGAATCTGAAAGAAATGACCATCAACTCCCATCCATCGTCCCGTCATCTCGCCATCCTGGGCCAAGTCCTCTCTAGTGGCGACCAAGCATCGACCACATCGTACTTGGGCAGGGTCTTCAATTGGTCGTCCATTCCGTTGGTGTTCAGCAACTTGCCTAAAAAACGTGCTGGGATGAGTTGAGATGATGAAAAAAGCACGTGGAAACACCACCAAAATATGCCAAAATCCCACATCTATCTATCTATCTAATCTAATCTTTATAATCTAATCTAATCTAATCTAAACTTTATAATCTAATCGAATCTAATCTATATAATCTAATCTAATCTAATCTAATCTATTCTATTCTATTCTATCTATCTATTAATTATGTATATAGATATATGTATATATATATATATGTGTGTGTGACTTTCCCTTTTGCCATTGCATTTTTGGGGTGCAAGGTCCATTCCCCGTTTTCGGACACACTCAAACGTAAAGCCGCAATCACCGCCAAAGTCAAAACAGTCTTTAAGAAAAAATACCGAGCGGCTGTTAATCCCCCAGCTAATATTGGATACCCCACCAACCAAACTGCAGTGGAATGTTTTCGGACCGATTCCAACATCGGAGTCCTGAAAATTGGGAAGAAGTTATCTTGGGGAAATGGGACTACCCAGAGTCCACCAAAACTCTTGTCTCTGGATATGTGTGTCTTTTCATCCAAAAGAGAAAGTGATTGGCGACGGAATCAGATTTCTCGGGAGACCCGAGAAAGTGAGATCGGGCCCCTCATGTTCAACATTACCACCAAGCCAAACCACCAGATTCCCATTGGCTGAATTTTAAGGACAAGAACATGACCTGTGTTTTGGGCCTGCTCTTCAGTTGGATTGACTCACAGTCCCTATAGAACCACTTGGTGTAAACCCGTACAAAGCCGAAATTGATGTTCTCTCCCCATTGGTTTATATTGGTTTACTAGTACCCATGAAGTGAGCACATCAATTCCCTACAGGAATCATCATCTCCGTTCATTGACAGAAAATGAAAAAAAATGAAAGCACCACGATTTGTATAACTTTCGATCCCCAACACCGTACATGGATGTACATGGTATCAGTAGCCACTAACGAAACATAGGCTTTTCCCCTTCTAATCAAGTCCCAAATTGGGGCACGAAAACGGATAGATCCAACAATTACTATCTAGGGGATATCAATCTATTACTTGGGGGAAGAGATGACTTGTTTTCAGTACCATTCTCAACCCCCCAGGCACCCTGGGCGCCTTTGTAGCTGCTCAGCCGTGCTTCCAGCTGAGCTTTACCCAGGTCAAACCTCGCAGAATCCCCCGGGTGCGGGCGCTTTGTTAGTGACAGGAAAACGAAAAAATGGATGGAACGAGCCAGTAGCACCAATTGTTTTGTCAGGGTGAACTAAACCCAAACTGGTTAGTGGTTTCAACCCTACCCCTCTGAAAAATATGAAAGTCAGTTGCGATGGTTATCCCCAATATATATATAGCCAATATATGAAAAAATAAAAAATGTTCCAAACCACCAACCAGCAAATGTTGTTTCTGGTATGATGCTAGAACCACTGATTTTGGGCCATGACCATCTCACCCTGTGTGTTTGGAGGGGGCACCGCAGCTGAAAAGCTTGGTGGGTCTGGTGGGACATCCACGTGTTGAAGCGTATTGGACTGGTGGATCTGAATGGCCGTGGCCAACTCAAAGTGTCCCTTGTCATGGCCAATCTGCCAGATACCCTGCAAAAAATCAAATTCTTAGCTGGTAAACGTAGATAATCCCATTGATACCAAAAGACTAAAGGATTAAACTACCCATCCAAGATCGACCTAGTTGTCAGTCACAAAACAGACCAAGATCACGTTGGCGCTTGACACCAGCACCTCCTGATCCCTGAACTCCGACAACAACCACGCGTGGCCGCGTGACCTCCCCTTGCCATGGTTAGATTCCTGGATGGTATCCCAGACATGTCTGGCAAAAGTCGAAAAACTTCCAGTTGTACCATTTAGCAAACCAACAAATCCTAATTGTTGCATACTCTCCTAGCCAAATCCCAATGTGTCTAATGTGGTAAACCCAATCATAAACCATGCCCCAATCATATTCCCATAAGTCACAAAAAACATTCCCAAATGTCACAAAAATCATTCCCAAATGTCACAAAAATCATTCCAAAATGGTAGGTTTATGGCATTGGGTTTTGCCACATGAAGGTAAGTCCCAAACCTTACTCCGGTAATTGAACATGGCGATGCGAAATGGGCACTGTTGCGACCCCAGCCCCAAAGCCGTGGCGAGAAGCTCATGGTTTCCCAGAGAGACATAGTCCAACTTGGCGTAGTTCAAGGCTTCCATCATGGTGACGCCACCATCCTTGGCGTTTTTATTTTGCCACACATGTGCGGATTCCAAAATGTTCCAACATCTTAGAACCTGTATTTTTTCCCTAGGTTTTACATGTTGTCGTCAAGATAATCCCATTGATACCAAAAGACTATTTTGGATTAGTTTCTACCCATCCAAGATTGGCCTAGTTAGCTATGTTTGTTGGCGAACAGGAAACAATTCCCCTTCTGTTCATAACCAGCCAGTGGGAATCTCGGACGGACATGGACGGAACCCGATTTTTCATCCCGTCCGATTTCGATGACTGCGATGAATGTCCACCATGGCTCTCTGTTTAACTTCTTACCCTCTGGTAAACGTTCACAAAAAACTATGGAAAATCACATTGTTTAATGGGAAAACTCACTATAAATGGCCATTTTCAATAGCTATGTTAAATTACCAGAGGGTAAAATGGAGGGAGAATGGTCATCCGGTCATCCATGACGATGATTTGGGGACCCCCTTAACAAAACGGAAACCTCCCATTCTTCAAAATCCTGGCTGATCAGGAAGCATCCTCCAAAAGTGCCGTGGCACTTGAAACAAGTGCAAAACCAAGGCTTTCTCGCCCGACGAGCCCCATTTCTCATATAAAAAATGAGACGGTTTGGTTCAGTTTTAATTGAGTGAAGCCAGTAAAGCCATAAATGTTGTATTGAAGTGAATGGCCCCATTTTTATGGCCGAGCCCAAGTTTCTGAGTTTGTATTGAAGCAAAGCCAACCATAAACTCAGACGGGCTGCACATCAGTACTTGGTAGGCTACCATGTTTAATCACTTTTGGAGGTCACTATTCACCACCCTCAAACAACAAGCAGGCTTAAGAAACAAAGACTTTGTCAACTATTAAAATATGATAACAATCCTATTCTCTCTGGCTTGGTTGTATCCCATTATATAACATGTACATTTTTACATCATATATATATAATTATATACATATTCACTTTATAAGTATTGATTCATCTCCCTAAAACTCTTCCGTTTTAATATCCTGTCTGCCTCAGTTTTTTTACGATTTCCACGATCCTGACGAATTTTCAGCATGGGGTTATGGTGGAGATATCTATAAAAACACTATATGCTTTGTAAAGCAACAAACCAACATCACTGGGGAAAACCAGCTTATAACTTGCTGAATTCTATGGTTTATGGTAGATATTAAAACTAGTTGCTATGGTTTACTAACTTTATAAAACAAAATTCACATCACTCTAGTAGAAATTGATCTATATATACTATGGTTTCTAAACGAACTTCTAGCTGGTAAACATGATGATTTTACCTGCTACCAAAAAATAGTTATTTTCCATGTTATACCCATCTTATCCACCTTAATCCACCATATCTGCAAGGTGGTGCCCCCCCAGATATATATATAATTTGGTTTATAACCACTATTAACTAGTTCCATATATCTACCAGAAACCCAAGTGAGTTATTGGAGTTATGTTCACTTACTTGGCCAACGTTTTGGGGCACCACCATATCTGGGAATACCCGGCCTGGGGTGGGTTCACTTGACCACTATTAACCATGGGTAACCATTATCAACCACTATTAATTCTTATCAGTAATCCTACTATATATAATATATATATATATTATATATTAACTACTATTAATCCTTAGTAAATAATTAGTACCGTAACCATTTTCATATATGAACTACTATCAATCCAGTAGCCAATCGTTACAGTTCCCACTTAAGTTCCCAGCGTCCAGCGAGGTATGAAGGCAGGGCCCCATGAAGTCGCCACACATGTGGGACGTGACCACGCGCTGCATGGCTTTGCTGAGCCGTTTGGCCTCCGTTTGACCGCGACGGCCGGCGAAAAGGCGACGGCCGTTGGCTTACAACGGTTAGATACAGTTGGAATATTACTATGGTTAATGATGGTTATATAATAGTGGTTAGTGATTCATAGTGGTTAATAGTGGTTAACAACTATTCATGGAGTTTTCCTAAATGGGGGAAACCTAAAAACTGATCACGGGATAAACCATCTACTAACTAGTTAAGAATCATAATCATAGGTAATAGGATATGATATTGTGATAACATGGGATATATAGAAAATATATATATATATGGGTAAATTATAATAATTCACTACCCTGAATTAAGGCCATTTTGGGATGATTCCCCTTACTAAATATGATTATAGTGAGGTCGCAGTGAGGTCGTTATAATTTACCCAGATATATATATATATATATTATAGGAAAAAAATGGGATAATGCGAATATAATGGCCATTAAAATGGAGGTTTCCTAAGTCATGGGAGTACCCCGAGTTATCATCCAGTCGTCATGGAGATGACTGGATGACCAAAATTGGACTCATATTGAAACAACATGAAACAACCATGGTGATGACTGGGGATTCCCCATTTTAAGCCCCAAATAAGAATCTATGAATGAAGATATGTAGAGACAAATCGAAACCAACAAAAAATTAGATGTCGGAAAATCCCTTGGCTTTTGAAGCCGCTTCCGTGGTTGTTTCACATTCGGCAGTTCTTCGGTTTCAGCAGGTTTTTTTTTGGCCTGCTTTTACGGGTTTCGTCCGAGGGATCGCCAGGTTTGAGGTTGAAAAATGTTCGAAAAAAGGTGGGTCAAAAGTGGTTCTGGTTAATAGATCTTAATAGTGGTTAATATATAGTGGTTACTAGTGGTTAATAGATCTGAAAATAGTGGTTGATTGATAGTGGTTAATAGTGGTGATTTGGTTTATAACTGGTTGGTGGTTTTTCGCCAACCCCTCTGAAAAATCATGGAGTTAGTTCGTCAGTTGGGATGATTCCATTCCCAACTGTTCATGGAAAGTCATTTAAACAAATTCCATGGTTCCAGTCACCACCAACCAGAAAAATATCATGTTGAGTGGGATGAACATCAATCAATCCCAGCGATTTTATGGGGAAAACATGGGAAAACTACCGTGAACCGACCCACTTCGCAGTTCGCCGACGACTTGGGGACGACTGGGGACTTTGCTGATTCGGGGTTCCCAAAAAACAAGACATATTCACTTAATCGATTCCCCAAATGGTGGATTTTCCATTGGGAAAATATTTAAAAAATTACCTTAAACAAACCCATGGACTATGACTTGGTACTATTCATTACTTAACATTATAGCTTGTGACTATTCATAGCATATAATTGCTATTCATTAAGTAGCTTGACCATGACTTGTACTGTAACTATTTATTACTTATAATTACCCTCTGACAACCTGAGAAATAGAGCATGACCGGCGTGTAGATGATATATTAGCATTGATGGTGGTTTTCACAGCATTGTTAGATACCAAATGGTAACTCATGATGACGTAGTGGTAAAACAGGGGGTACCCTCTGGTAAACTAACATAACTATGGAAAATTGCCCATTTATAGATGGTTTACCTAGTAAAAATGGTGATTTTCTATAGCTATGTTAGTCATTACCAGAGGGTAGATTTCCCAACTGTTTGTGCATGGATGAGGCCCCTCTGTTTCTCAAACCACCCAGTGGGATTTTTGGAACACAAAAAAGAACCAGCTAATTCCTTACTATCTTGATGGCGCTTATTTTTACGATGAACAGCTGCTTTCTATGAGTTGCAAAACTTGTATATAATAGCCCCAAAAAAGAAAGAACAGTAGCATCCTACTAAAACTCAAATAGACAATTCAAACAATAGCATCCTACTATATATTGTCAACAATATCCCATGATATCTTAAATATTTGTAAATATCAAATAACATAGACCCGGGCAAGCCGGCGGCGGAAGTTTCCCAAACATAAATGACCTATAGTTCAAAGACACCCTGTCCCGACCGTGTCCTTCCCTCGACAACCGTTTGATTTTTTCAGCGAGAGACGAAGCAAAGTCTTCACACTCCACACTCCACACTTCACACTGCACTCTTCGCACTCTTCGCACTCCAAACTTCAAACTTCACACTCCACACTTCACACTTCACACTCCACACTTCACACTTCACAGTCCACACTTCACACTTCTCACTTCTCACTGCTTCCTTCACACTCCAAACCTCACACTTCACACTTCACACTTCACACTGCGCTCTTCGCACTCCAAACTTAAACTTCACACTCCACACTTCACACTTCACATTCCACACTTCACACTTCTCACTTCCCACTGCTTCCTTCACACTTCACACTTCACACTGCACTCTTTACGCCCCACACTTCACACTGCTCTAAACCTACGTGCAACAAAAAAACACTAGTGCCAAAATGGAGAAAATCTGCTAACAAATCCATTTCGCAGCCTTCATGCAGCCACTCCAAGACGATTTACGAGATCCAGCTGCAAAAGACAATAGTATTATGAATGCAGCCACAGCACGAAGCAACCTTGACGCAGCGATTACAATGCGATCTGCAGAGACTGAGTTGCAAAACACAATAGAACTACGCGCAACGGCGTCGGAAATTGTAGCTCCAAAATCGGGTCTCGACGCCAGAGCGAAAAAAAACGATTTTGAAGCACTTTTTAAAAGGATTTTTAGAAGGAAAATCACTAGCGCCAAAATGGAGAAAATCTGCTAACAAATCCATTTCGCAGCCTTCATGCAGCCACTCCAAGACGATTTACGAGATCCAGCTGCAAAAGACATTACGCATGCAGCCAAAGCAAGAAGCAACCTTGACGCAGCCATTCCAATGCGATCTGCGGAGACTGAGTTGCAAAGCACAAGAGAACTACGCGCAATGGCGTCGGAAATTGTAGCTCCAAAACCGGATCTCGACGCCAGAGCGAAAAAAAGACGATTTTGAAGCACTTTTTAAAGGGATTTTTAGAAGGAAAATCACTAGCGCCAAAATGGAGAAAATCTGCTGACAAATCACTGTGGCAGCCTTCATGCAGCCACTCCAATACGATTTACGAAGTCCAGCTGCAAAAGACAATAGTATTACGCATGCAGCCACAGCATGAAGCAACCTTGACACAGCCATTACAATGCGATCTGCGGAGACTGAGTTGCAAAACACAAGAGAACTACGCGCAATGGCGTCGGAAATTGTAGCTCCAAAACCGGATGGATCTCGATGCCAGAGCGAAAAAACGACGATTTTGAAGCACTTTTTAAAAAGATTTTTAGAAGGAAAATCACTAGCGCCAAAATGGAGAAAATCTGCTGACAAATCACTGTGGCAGCCTTCATGCAGCCACTCCCATACGATTTACGAGATCGAGCTGCAAAAGACAATAGGATTACCAATGCAGCCACAGCACGAAGCAACCTTGCTTTGGTGCCAAGTTGAAGTTATAAGTGGTTATAACTAAAGTTATACAAAAAGTTATGAAAAGTTATGAAGTGAAGAAAATATCAACAATTTTAGCACATTTTTATAACTTAGAAAAATTGAAAAAAACACTTGTTTTTAGTGTATCGAAAACAATAGTTTTTCTAATTATAGCGGTTGAGCCGCTTCGAAGTTGTTTTTTTAGAAAAAATCGCGGTTTTCATCGCTTCCATGGCTGAGGGAATGTGCAACTGGTTTTTAAACAGAACAGGCCACTGTGGGAGCGCGCCTTTTTAGGTGCTTTATGCACCTGCAATGGGTTAGTTTGCTCTTTGCAATCTCAACTTTGCAGTTTCTTTTCTTTTTACAAAGACAAAAAAAAGAAACAAAAAACAAAAAAACAAGAAACAAAGAAAAAAACAAACAAACTGCATCTGACCCCCTCCCCTTGGGGTGTGCAATCTTGTTTTTTTTTGTTTTTTTGTTTTTTTTGTTTTTTTGGTGTTTTGCTTTCTTGGTTCGTTGTTATTTTGAGGGACTGGCAAAAAAAGTGGCAGGATCTAACTCTTTGCCACTTTTCCCCGCTTAGGCATTGCAAATTTGTTTGTGGTTGTTTCTGCTTGCTTTAGGTCTCTGGTTCCATTAGAAACCATGTAAAAACCAAGGAAAAACAGGTATCCTTGGGGGAAGGTTAGGGGCTTGGGGCATGGATTAAGCAATTTTGTTTTTGACTTATTTTTGAAAACATGCCAGAAGACTATGAAAAAACAAAGGCAGCCAACGAGTACGTTTTTTGATATTGACATTGCTGACTATAAACCCCAGTTTCCCCTAGTACATCCCAATATATCCCACCCATATGGGAATGTCTCAAAATGAGGCGAGCCCTTTTTTTTTTAGTAGCGTTTTGGGGGTCAAAAAAGGCGCGCCTCATTTTGAGACGTCCCCATATACCACAGAGGTCTTTACAGGCTTGGGTGAGGGACTGAGGGATTGAATTAGATTAGATTGGATTAGATTAGATTAGATAGATTGGATTGGCTTGGCTTGCTTTGGATTGGATTGGATTGGGTGAGGGACTGGATTGGATTAGATTAGATTAGATTAGATAGATTGGATTGGCTTGGCTTGGATTGGATTGCATTGGATTGGGTTGGTTTGGACTGGATTGGGTTGGATTAGATTAGATTAGATTAGATAGATTGGACTTGACTGGATTGGATTGGATTAGATTAGATTAGATAGATTGGATTTGAGTGGGTTGGATTAGATTGGGTTGGGTTGGATTAGATTAGATTAGGTTAGGTTAGATTGGATTGGATTTGATTTTGTTGGATTGGAATTAGACTGGATTGGATTGGATTGGATTGGAATTAGATTAGATTAGATTGGATTAGATTAGCTTAGATTAGTTTAGATTAGGTTGGATTGGATTGGATTTGATTGGATTGGATGGGGTTGTTGGATTGGATTGGATTGGATTGGATTGGATTGGATCAGATTAGATTAGATTGGATTG